TTGAAGTTTGTCAGGTTTGTAACAGCCTGTGACATTCCTGTTATCCTCACCTTACCTCCTTCTTCATTGCTTCTATTGTCTCCTTTTGCTACTGTGTATTTCTGATGTAGCGAAATTGGGTCAATGATAGTGTGTGGGTGAGAGAGGTAAAAGAAGAGATAAATCAAGAAATGACAGTTGTAAGGATAGTAATAGTAAGATCTTAACTTGACAACCGGTTGTAAAATTATAGCCCAATCTAACACATACCAATGCATTTGTTGTGCTCCAATTTTATGAACTTGTAGGGGACAAGAAAAAGCAGAATCCAAGTGAATATTATTGTTCTTTTTTTAATTGAAAATATAGCTCATCAAAATTTGAGAGGCAATGAACACAGAAAAAATAAACCTATTTCCCTATATTCAAAATGATAACGCGCTTTACTTTTATAAAGCCCTTCTCACAAACTTGCACACATAATTCCATTAAATATAGAGAGATCAGCACTTTCAAAGAGGAATATTTTGCTGATGACAAAAACAAATGAGTATTTGTGATTTAGAGAGTTAATCTAAATTTTACAAAAAACAGCTTTCAATTAGGGGCATGTGGGCGGCTCAGATGGTTAAGCATCTGCCTTCGGCTCAGGTCACAATCTTCGGGTCCTGGGATGGAGCCCCACATAAGGCTCCCTGCTCAGTGGGGAGTCTGCTTCTCCCTCTCCCTCTACCCTTCCCCGAACTCGTGTGTGCACAAGCGCTCTCTCTCTCACACACAAATGAATAAAATCTTTAAAAAAAAATAAAAAAGCTTTCGATTGTATTCCAAAATTCAAAATTAAACATTCTCTGTAGTCTTTAAACAGCTCAAATGATCCTAAACTCAAGCGGCCCCAAAATCCTACCAAAACCAAATTATACTAATAACAATAATCTATATTTTAATCTTTGACTATATCTTTTTGAAACTACTTCAAATTCCATTGGGAGGATTCTCCCTAGTTCTCCTCTTCCTCCTTCCCACTTCAGTTGTGGATATCACTTATAAATCAGTCCCTTATTCCTGGTCTTGTTTCTTTTATATTTAATCCCATCACCACAAGGATTTATCTACCACCTGTATAAATTTGTCTCTCCCCAAACTTGACAGATTTAACATATTGGGACATATTTATTTAACAACCCAACTTAAACTGCTCCCCCCCAAAATTCCCAAAATTGATGCCTTATCCATTAACATCTATCCAGATTCACTACTTCTTCCTTTACTTTTATATTTAATACCAAATTCAATGGATTCATCCCTTACAAAGTCCCTGGTATTGTTCTTCCTTTCCTCTTCCCCAGCCGTCAGCCACTCCAGATCATTATCTCCCACATGTATTATTTCAATAGCCTCTTAGCTGATCTGCCTACCTACTTCCAACCTCTCCACACTTTATCCAACATCCACAAAGAGCTGTCAGAATTCACCACTTCAATTTGCCCACTCAGAAACCCATAGTGCCTCCCTACTGTTTCAAATCCAAACTCACTGGCCAAAGGTTCTAGGTAGTTACAGCGTAAAGGCACTTTTTTTCCATCACCTAAGTAACCAGATTTTTTTCCTTTAACAAACACAGCTGCCATTAGCCCCTCATATACCTCTACACCCCCCGCCTGGGTGGCTCAGTTGTTAAGCGTCTGCCTTCGGCTCAGGTCATGATCCCGGGGTCCTGGGATGGAGCCCCATGTCGGGCTCCCTGCTCCGCAGGGAGCCTGCTTCTCCCTCTCCCACTCCCCCTGCTTGTGTTCCTGCTCTCGCTATCTCTGTCAAATGAATAAATAAAATCTTTTAAAAAAATATTACCTGCCCCCCATTTTGAGAACCCACAAGTGATTTAGTGTAAGGGTTAAGAGTACAGGTTCTGCAGTTTGATTGGAATCAAGCCTCCACCACTTAAGGACTAAATGACATTAACCAAGTCATTTAACTTTGTCTATTTAACAGGGACTCTAACCCTACCTCCTAGGGTTGTTAGGAAAATTAATGTAATACCCTTAACGCATTAGGCCATTGCCCAGCACAGCGCAGAATGATCAATAAAAGTTAGCCATTGTCATTATTATTACAGCCACTTTGATCCAGGCTAGCCAACGTGATTGCTCTTCCAGAGGCTATGCATTTGACTTCATTATTCTTGACTCCCTCAACCACAACCTGTTAGAGATTGAATAGGTCTGAGAGAGGAGCTAGTCACATGTCCATTACCATTCACGTCTTGGCTCAATCCTCTCTTGTTTATTCATTCAACAGGTGTCTACTGCTAAACTAAATACAACTGCACACACAGCACACAGCAAACAATCCTTAGTAAATATTTTTTGGGTAAATATATTAAATGCTAAAGAAATATGTAGTTAGTACGTATTTTTGCCTATTATCTCTAAAATATTAATAAACCATATGCTTCTAAAATAAAACTGTTTCTAAACAATGTCCTATAGCTTCAAGTAACTAGTTTGAAGTACTCAAGACAGGAATAAAAAAATCTGCTATCTTACTTGGTAACTGTTCTCAAATTGACTCAACTAAATTTATTATATATTTCTAGCTGCTGAAGATAAATGTCTATGATCTCTTATCTATCAAGAATTCTTGGGTCAGTGCTTTATAACTAGTGCTAAATACACTGTTATGAATTCCCCAATTTTTCAATATAAAAATAAGGTCATCATCCAAAATAATGTGTAAAAAGATAATGGTAAGGGAGCACCTGGCTGGCCCAGTCAGTAGAGCATGCGATTCTTGATCTCAAGGTTGTTAAGTTCGAGGCCCACACACTGGGTGTAGATATTACTTAAAAATAAAAATCTTTAAAAAAAAAGATAATGATGGGGCGCCTGGGTGGCTTAGTTGATTAAGCGTCTGCCTTTGGCTCAGGTCATGATCCCGGGGTCCTGGGATCGAGCCCCGCATCGGGCTCCCTGCTCAGCAGGGAGCCTGCTTCTCCCTCTCCCACTCCCCGTTTGTGTTCCCTCTCTCACTGTCTCTCTCTCTGTCAAATAAATAAATAAAATCTTTAAGAAAAAAAAGATAATAATAAGATTTAAAAGTCAAAGAGCTAGGCATAGTCCTAGCTCTCTCCTTATATTTCTATCCTCCCTCCCCCAAAAAACCAAATCCATGCAGAATTACAGATTTTTTTTCCCATAGGGTTTTTAAGATTTATTTAGGGGCACCTGGGGGGCTCAGTCATTAAGCATCTGCCTTCGGCTCAGGTCATGATCCCAGGGTCCTGGTATCGAGCCCCACATGGAGCCTGGCATTGCACTCCCTGCTCAGCGGGAAGCCTGCTTCTCCCTCTCCTACTCCCCCTGCTTGTGTTCCTGCTCTCGCTGTCTTTCTGTGTCAAATAAAATCTTAAAAAAAATTTTTTTTTATATTATTTAATTTTAAAGAAAGAGAGAGCAGGGGGTAGGGGAAGAGGAAGAGAAACTCAAGCAAACTCCCCACGGAAAGCAGAGCCTGACATGGGGCTCAATCTCACGACCCTGAGATCAGACGTGAGCCAAAATCGAGAGTCCAACGCTTAACTGACTGCGTCACCGAGGCAACCCTCCCTAAGATTTTTAAGCTGAAAGGATCTCAATTTCCATTTCCTGATGCCCCACTGAATCCCACATATGAAGGTGAAGCCCAGAAAGGCCAGACAGGTAGCCTACAAGTACAACAATCAGAGGCAGGTCAGGGAATTGAACCCAACGTTCCTGTCACCTTCACTACATCATGCATCTTTCAACTGATTTCTTCCATGTCTACTTAATCTAGAAAAAATTAACTATATCACACGAACTTTTCACAAAACAACTAAGTATACGGTGCGGTTAATACTGACATATTTTTCCGTTATTTTCAAGAACACTTGTGATGAATAAAGGTTTCAAGCCATAAATAGATCATTTCTATTACAATTACTTATGTTCTGAAAATGATGCTTCCCTTTATCAGATTTTGTAAAATTTAAGATTCCAATTTTTACGAATTCTTTTTCATGAACTACACATACGTATGGTCATCTAGGCAGCCTCCTCCCCAACAAAAGCTTAAGCAATCCATGCCTCAGATAAAAATGTCATCTATTCCAGGCTAATCAGCATATGTTAGAATCTGTTCCTAATATAGAATCATAGACTTCTGGACTTGGAAGGAACCTTGGAGATCACCTCTCATTTTACAAAGGAAACAAATACCCAGCAGGGACCTGCCCAAGGTCAAAGTTTCTATATAAGAACGTAGGTCCAGAATAGAAAGTTTTCAAAAGAGTATTTCAGAGAAAAACACCATATTTGGTGGAACACCTTAGCTTGTCTCCCTTTTTATCTATTTCTTAAGTACAACTTCCTGCCTAAGGAACTTCTGAAATTTAAGAAAAGAAAGCAAAACAAAAAAAACTAAGCCAACTTTTTAAGTCTACAGCCAAGTTGCTGATCTTAAAAACTTAGCAGGTGAATCTCTGCAAGAATTGCAGACAGTAACATTTTGTAACAAACCTTAAAAGCTGATGAATATAAATAAGTAGAGGGAGAAAAGACACACACAAATTAACAATAACTATAATATTCTTATCTCTGTAACAAATTACATAAATGCTTATAAGGAGGAAAACTATAAACTTGCAACTTTCAAGAAAGAAATTTAATCACCATACCTAGTAATTACACAAGAGTGTCAATATATTTTGAAATAAAATTTTGATCATAGTGCTTAAGGGAAGCCAGAAATTCTTTTTAGTGTTCTTCTTCACATATTTTGTCATGTTAAAAAAAAACAGTATTTTGAGGAAAATATTTTATCAAACCTTAAAAAGAAAATCTTTATTCAAACCTTAAATTATAAGCTATATTTGTCTATCCATGTTTCTAAAAATAAATGAAAATAGAACAATCCTGAAAGTTAAGGCCTGAAAAGCACTAAATTTACATCTTTTTTTTTTTTTTTGGTCCCAATAAAAGAGCATGCTACATAAGCCAATTTACCTGTAGGAATATGTTTCTTAACTCATGGGGATCACCTCGCTTGGTTGTTTGCACCTGTAAGAAAAAATAAAGCTAGTTAATGCTTTACTAGAGACCACATAATCTCTTCAGATTAGAGTACTCAGATGCTAACAATCAATGCTCTTATCTTTTATAAAGGTGTTTGGTTTAAAACAAACCAAAAGAACTAATACTGATAACACCTGTCAAATTGGAGATCTGTGACTACAGGGGGGAAGTACAGGTATGAACAGCTTAATATATAGCAAATCTCCCAGATTTCCTCTGGACTGGAAAGGGAAGGCAATGAGGATCAATCTCTTACTTTAGTCCACATCCACTAGCAACACAATAGCAACCACCCACCTCCAAATCAAGAGGCCATCAAGAACAGAGCAACGGGAAAGTTGAAATACCCAAATTAATCGCCTGGCCTAGCAGCCTTTCTTCCCCATGGAAAGCAATCCAAAAAATAATTATCTCCTCTCTTTCTCCACCCAAGCTAAAATATGAAGGCTGCGACAATGTTTCCAAATACTTTCGACATCCTGCCACCTGCAGCACAAATGCCAACCACTGTCCCAGGCCCCACTGAAGCCCCAAATTACTCAATTACTCACCCCCTCCCCCACTGCAAAACAGATGCCTTAGGTATCCCCGGCTTTACATGCCACTTCCTCCTACTCCCTTTCTGATGCCCTCCAAGTCCAGGCTAACAAACCCATGCATCTAGAGCAGGACACTACTCTTCCTTCTCCGACCTGTGGTCCTCAGAAACCCCTCCAACTCATAATCCCTCCTACTTCCCCTCCCCCAGCCGGGCATCCTCTCCCTCCGGTCCAAGCCGCACACAGCTCTCCCACCCGCAAGCTGGAGCCCCAGGATACGCTATCTAAGAACCAGGCAACGAAGAAAATGATGAGAGGTGAGGGGCTGAAGGCAAGGTCCCCGGAATGGCTCTTATGCAATAAAGGCAGCAGCAGAGAGTTGGGAGTCACCTTGACCGCCATGCTGTGCTCGGAAGCCGGGGACGAGCGAGTGAGCGAGCAAGGCCCAGCTGTCAGGGCGCGCGCGCGCCGCCTCCCCGGCCGCGCCCGCCCTCCCGTTCGCCGGCGCCGCGCGCGTCCCTATGCAAATGAGCCCGGGGCGGGGCGGGAAGAGGGCCCCGAATCCCCGCCAGAAAGGGAGCTGAACCCGGGCGGGCGGCCTGCCTCGCTGGGGAGGAGGACGCGCCTCCCACGGGGAATGCTGAAGTGCCAGCCCTGGGATTCCGACGCGCCGCGTGGTTGCCTACAACTGAGTCGCCGCCGGGAAAGCCCCAGGTTTCTTAAGGCCTCTTAGTGGGTGTGGCTTTGGGCACCGACTTCAGCCAAAGTCGTTTTCTCCTGAGACTTAAAGGAACGCTTGGGATCCAGATTAAGCAAGATTTCGACGGATCGAATGACATGTCCCATTGATGATAATAATAATAAATGAATTACAACAAATGGCAAATACTGACAAAAAAGTTGGGGAACCATGCACCTGGGGAAAACCTAAGGAAACATAACGACAAATATGTCCTTAAATTGGCATGAGATGAATATGCTTAATATATTTGTAATTCTTGTCCTATTATAAAGCTTTATTAGTAGGCTCACTCCACACTCCTAATCACCCAAATCCTTTGTGCAATGAGGTGGGGCACAAATGCATATGGAAAACAATCCATTTGTCTTTGACAGGACTGGTACTGAATCCTGGCCCAATCTGCCCCTACATAAACATTGCCAGTCCTGCGTAAGTAGTACCTCTACCTTGAACCAAAATAATGTCTCTAAAACCGAATTTTGCCATTATGACTATATTGAACCACAGATTGATTCACTCAACAGACGTTTACTGGTCATCTATTATATGCCAGACATAGTCCTGCTTGTAAAAAATACAAAAAATAACATATAGTCCCTAACCTCTAGTATCTTACAGATGGTCAATGCGACCCCAAACCCCAACCTTAAGTATATTTCTTTTGTTTGTGACTACAGGCATACTTCCTGTTAAAAAAAAAAAAGGCTAACAACGTAAGATTTATCTTAATCTCACTTAGTTCTGTAACCCCTCTCCACCCTCTTTCAAGTTTCCAGTGTTGGATCTAACAGGAGGCTTTCCTTTTCTCCAGTCTCACTAATCATAATATTTATGTTTAGTATCCAAGTTTATAGAAATGAGGAAAGAGGAGTGGCAAATGGAAATTGTTGATAGGGAATGCTACGTTAAATAGTACTATAATGAGCTTTCCTGCTGCAGTTGGTTTAACTATTACATCTATTTATTCAGTTTGTTCCAAGTTCTTTTAACAATATTATTGGACATAAGGATTTACAAATTCATATTTTGTTCTCGCACCTTATGCCCCTGATACTTTGCTCTCTCTTATTTCCTGAAGTTTCTCTAAGTAGGAATCTCAAAATGTTTATTTTACATTACTTTACAAGGGAAGAATGTCTGTTTAGTAGGCGAAAGTTCCTCAGTCTGAATAAAAGTACTTAAGGGAAAGGAAGGCATTTATTTAAAATGAAAGAATTATTACCTATTGGAACATGTTGCTGACCAAATCTATATTGTTGAAGTGAAAATTTAGGGTCAGACTGGCCACTCCTACAGGGGAAGACAACATCACATTTAAACAGAGCCCACCACAATAATTCCTAGGAATAAGCACCAAGCCACAAGGAAAATTTTCTTGAATAAAAAAATAGCTGAGGGGCGCCTGGGTGGCCCAGTCGGTTAAGCTGCTGCCTCTTGGTTTCCGTTCAGGTCTGATCTTAGGGTCACAAGATCAAACGCCGCCAAGTTGGCTTGAGAATCTCTCTCTCCCTCCGCCTCTCCCATTTGTGTGCTCTCTCTCTCTCTAAAATAAATAAGTTTTTAAAAAATAGGCTATCTTTGAAAAAAATTATATGTATATATCTCTTAAAAAAAATAGCTGATCTTTGAGCAAATCCAAGACCTTCACTGGTGCTAATCTAGTTGCAATGGAGATGATGTAATAATTTGAAACTAAATAGGGCTAATATACAGAGAAAATAGAAAAGCTCAGCTACCATAAATAAAGGTGGATTTTGATAGATTTTTTATCTATCCAAATATAATAAACAATAAAATGGATAAAGGTATTAAAATCGTAAACTATCAGAAATAAACCAAGTATTTAAAGGAATACGAAAGTCTATGAGTTAGAGCTCCTACTCTGAAAAGCTTTATGATCTATCCTTCTGTTATAATGATTGATGAAAGGTATTATTAAAAGTTAAACAAATTAAAACTTACTTTTGCCTCAATTGCAGATGATCAGGGTTGAAGGAAAACTTATTAGTTAAGGGGGTATCAAAAGACAAACCTGTCAAATAATATTCACAATATATTTGGGAAAAGGTGGTAGAAATAGTTCAAAACTTTTCAGTTTTTTAAAATTACTTGCCAATAAAGTAATTTATAACTCTTTCCTTAAATTGCAAATGACATTTATAAACAAGAAATAATTTTATTTTATTTTTTTATTTTTTTTAACAAGAAATAATTTTAAAACTATGGAACAACTATAAGTTGAAAACTTAATAATTAAAACAGTCTATAGAGAATGACATTTCAGAAAGCAAAATTGGAAGTTAAAGGCTAAAAGACTAGTTGCAAATATATTGCCATTAATGACCACTTTTTAGAATAGATTTAATAAAAGATTCAATATGTAGCTTGACTGAGCTGGGAATTTAAATATGCTTGTGAAGTTGTTGGCCGTGAAAATAATATACTACCCCCAAATGCAAAACCAAAATATGCTAGACAAACCCACAGAAACATGTTTCTAACTCCCAAGCAGCTTACATTAATTTGAAACCAGCCAGTCACTTTGTGGGTGAAAGTTAGAATTATACTAATGCCTAGTGTCTTAATAAACTAAAATATAATAATTAAAACAAGAGGCAATTTCCAATGAGCTTGCTCTGCCACAACTGCTGGCCTTCCTTCCATATTTAATAACATACTATGTTTATCTTCTAGCCTCCTCCAATTATTTTACTGACATGAATACATTTTTGTTCTTGTTTCCATATCCCACACGAGCTACTATGGGTGTAATCTTGCAAGAAGTAAATCCAGGTGGTGTATAAACACTTCGAAGAGCATTAGGATATCATTGACTGTCTAAACCAGGAGTGAAGCTCTTCCTAGGTAAAAAGTGGATATACCATCATTATGATGAGGAATAAGCTGCATTTTATGCCTCCCATCAAGATGAAGCTCACTAAAAATATTTGAAATAAATAGCATGATCTGACTTCGGCACACACACACAAAGGATATTTGAACATCTGGAACTTTTTTTTAAAGATTTTATTTATTTTTTGACAGAGAGAGACACAGTGAGAGAGGGAACAAGCAAGGGGAATGGGAGAGAGAGAAGCAGGCTTCCCGCGGAGCAAGGAGCCCGATGTGGGGCTTGATCCCAGGACCCTGGGATCATGACCTGAGCCAAAGGCAGACGCTTAATGACTGAGCCACCCAGGCGCCCCTGGAACTTTTTTTTTTTAAAGATTTTATTTATTTATTTGACAGGGAGAGAGAGCACAAGTAGGCAGAGCAGCAGGCAGAGGGAGAGGGAGAAGCAGGCTCCCTGCTCACGTGGGGCTCCATCCCAGGACCCTGGGAACATGACCTGAGCCGAAGGCAGACGCTTAACCAACTGAGCCACCCAGGCGCCCCTGAAGATCTGGAACTTTTAAGTATATATTGGTTCTGACCTAATAGAATTATAAAATGGTTCTTTTTATTTTACTGAAACACTACAAAACTTATAGATTTATAAGATGTGCTTTAACTCCTTCCTTGCTAAGAGTCTATATGGGGAAATGGTAAGGAGTAGGCTGGGGAGAAATATTAAGCGTTAGGTGTCCAGGTTTGAACAAATTATGTACTACTTCATAGGCTGACCTCAAAATCAATCAGAAATTATTATTTCAACCCAAACCACTTACAGATACTAGATAAATTAGACATTTTAGGACTTCTCTATACTGTACAAGTATTATACTCCCTCTATGAATATTTGGTCTTATTGAAATAAATTCTCTTTTTGGTGGAGAGGGAAGAGTGGGGTATCAAAAATCAGATGAGATAGTTGTACTTTTGCAGTTACATCTTCCTAACCTGCTCTTCCTCACAGTCTGACTCTGAGTCCTATATATTATGCAATGGGGATAACAGTGATCTTATTTTTGGACCACAGTCTTCTTTATTCCCTTGTGGAGGTAATAAGTTTTCTTTTCAATGGATTTGGGAAGGAATTCTTGGAATGAGCTGTTCTAGATGTTTAAGTCTGTGACGGCCCTATCACTATAGTAGTCAGTAAGCTGATATTTAGTGAAAAACCTTACGAACAGACGGAGGATCGCACTAGATGAACTTTAATGCTTCTTTTTAATACTCTAATGTCATGATTAAGAGTGAGCCAAATTTTAGCTAATAAAAATTTATTGAGTGCCTTGTGTTTGCACTAAACTCACTGTTTCAACTATAGGAAATATAAGAAAAATAAATAGCATGATTCCCAAAGCATGGAGAATATTTGACTGTGGCAACTGCTATTATTCTTTTTTTTTTTAATGAATGATACCAAACCTTCTGCATATGCCAAAGGCCAAGGCAGCTTTAGGTAATAATGGGGTAAAAAATCTGTGGTTTGCCACATATTCCTGTTCCAATCAAAAGTATATAAATGGGACAATAAATACCCTGTTCAATCCCCGAGATGCCCACCTCTACCAATCCCTGGGGATTTACTTGGATCTGGTTTTTGACTCCTTTCTACTTAGAGGTCAACAAGGAAGGATGCTTGGAATCTGGTCCAAAGTAAAGAAAAAATTTTCACTTTAAAAATTGTGCTGGTTGAAAAGCAAAGGCCTCAGAATATCCAAAGCAAAGTTGAAAAATAACAAAGTTAGGGGACTTACACTACCTGACTTCAAGATTCATTATAAAGCTAAAGAAATCAGTACAGTGTGGTACTGGCTGGTATAAGGATTGATAAACAGATGAATGGAAGAGATTAGAGAG